GGCTAGGGCAGGCCCACCATACTCAAGAGCAGGTGGTTACACAGGGTGTGAACACCAGGGACTGTGGGGCTTGAAGCCATCTCAGAATTTAATCACAGCCCCAAATCATTTAGCAGCTTTCTTAATCTAAATGGCCTTGGTCTCTGTAGAAACACAAAGAACAACCAAAGATGAGAAAACTATTATTTCTTTTTACGTACCTAGGATCAAGCAGGAACACATTTCTTTTTTTTATTTTATTCTTACATCTTTATTCTCAATGATGCATACCCAAAACTTATATAATGTTATAATTCAGTATTATTTTCAATTAAGAAAGCATAAAGATAAAACACATTTCTTTAGAAAAGAGAAATCACTGCAAGAAAAACCTTGGAAAGACAAAGTTGCCATTTCTGTCTTCCTCCTACAAAAAAGTTTCACTCCAATTTCATTGAGCACCTACTGTTTGCAGGCATTATGGAAAGTAAAGGGGTAAAGGAGGTACATTTTTCTGCCCTCAAATAACATAGTGAACTGAGAAACTGATTCATTCTTTTATCTAGTTATTCATTCAACAAACATCTTGGCTTTTTCTCTGTGCAAGGCACAAAAAATGTCAGAGATTCTGGGCTTCCTGGTGGCGCAGGCGGTTAACCGCAGTGCTGTGAAGCTGTCCACAGCCTCTACAGTGCTGGTTCAACCCCCGCTGGCTGCAGAACAACCCACATGGCAAGGCAGACCTCTCCTGTCTCTCCCACTGCTCCCCACAGCAGTGTGTTTCAGTCAGTCTGCCTGTTCTGGTCCCCACTCTGTCTCTGGTGGATCCTCTCACCCTCCCGCACATCTGGCTTGCACCCCCGTTCTTGTACAAATAAATAAATCTTTAAAAAAAGTGTCAGAGATTCAAAATCATTTTTGCCCTCAAGCAAACTCACATTGTAAAAGCAACATTTTGAGTTGCAGTATCACTTAATATTATTTTCAACTGCTTTAATGACAGTATCAAATCTGACAGTTTGAGTACAGTATGCAGAAATGAGAATGTGGTTAGCTTGGTGCAATTCAAAGAACAGAACCCTTGGAATATAAATCCAAATGATCAGGGTAATTTAACCACTAAGGGAACAATGAACATTGTGTGCCTCTAGTCATGATGCACTGAAAAAGACGCAACATCTCCTCTGCGATTTTCTTGCCAAAAGTGCGTAGACTGAAATGAGTAACGAAAAAAGATGACAAATTGAGGGGTATTCTACAAAATATAACTAGCTTGTTATATTCTTTTCAAATTGTCATGGTCAAGAAAATCTCAGAATGGTGAAGGAATGTTCCAGATTAGACACTAAGAACATCTAAATGTGATGTGTGATCCTAGACCAAAAAACAAAAGGACATTTGCCAAAATCTGAATAACTAAATCATAATATTGTTATTAATATAGATTTTCTGATTTTTATACTTGTGCTGTGTATATGTAAGTTGTTATCCATTGGGGGGTTCAGAACAAGGGCATATGGGATGTAAGGGGTAAATTTTTGCCTGTTCACAGCTTCCTGCTGTATGTCCTTGGGCAAATCATTTCACCTCTCTGAGCCCCAATGGTCTCACCTATTAAAGAGAGGCACTAAAAGAGATTGGGACCCTTAAAATACAAATGCAAATAATAATAATAATAATAATAATAATTATTATTATTATTATTATTATCCCAGAGGGATTGCAACCTTTATAATAAAGGAAGTATCCTGAAATTAGGGCAAATTATTCAATAATCTGTCTGCAAGTTATTTCTTAATCCTTAAGGACACACAAGCTAGAAGAGATTTCTGAAGCCAAGCAGGGCCATGTCATCACAACCTGTCACACAGTGGTGGAGTGAGGATTTGAACCCAGCACAGTGTGATTCCAAATACTGTCTTGAGCCTGCTGCCCCAGGGACAGTGCAATGATGATAACAGAAGGGACAATTAAAGACACACAGAGGGTGAAAGGGGAGAGAAAGAAAGACTCTACAATCAGACAGGAAATGTGGTCACAGCAGTTACAATCTTAAAAACATAACCACATGCTTCTAAAGAAAAAAAAAAAGAAAACTGTCAATCAAGATCTATCCCACCAGGAATTAGCCCACAAGTCTAAATTTTCTCTTTGTCAGTAACAGTTTATTGCCATCCAAATGATTGAGGAAGCAGTCCCCACATCTCCTCTGGAAGTAAAATAGTAAACAAGGGTGGTCACACAGGTGGTATACCAGGGGACCCCAAGTGTGCACAGAACTACAGCTGTCAGTCCCCTATCACCTCGATACAGCTTATTTGCCATCTGTCCTGGCAAAGCCCAGGGCTCTGGAATGGACAATAGCTGGAATTCGCAAGGACCAGCTTCCCTACCCTAGAACTCTGAGTCCTGCAAGCTCTAGGGTGTGGGCATGAGAGTGGGTTTTGCAACACCCAGTGAGTGGATACACCTGAGGACCCCAACCATCCCATAGCCACAAGTCATTTTTAAGGTCCTTAATCCAGGAGGTTAAGTTACAGCCCACAAGTCACCATCTGGCTGGGGGATCTCCCCCGTGGGTAGTGTCTCTGGGCACTTCTTGAATTACACCAGCTTGGATGTCAGACCCTGTTGAAAGAGTCCCAGAAACCCTCTTCTCTCAGCTTTTTCCCTCCCCATGCCCATTCTTCAGACATATTTCTGCTGGGAGCTGGTGGATGCCAGGAAGTCTACACTGATATGGGGCACCTGTCATGTGTCAGTCCTTCTCCTAAGCATCTTCCTGCATGTAACTTACATAAGCCTCGTCATCACCTGTCATAGGAGTCACTATGTCCATTGTACAGACTAGGAAATGAAGATTGTGTCATTCATCCAAACCAGTAAGAGATTTAACATTCTTTCCACGAAGACCTAGAATTTCTAACATACTGGCCCTTGCTCACTCCTATCATTTCCTTCAGCCAAATTTCCCCCCGTTTCTTATAGATTGAGTCCTGGGGGAAGAACTATTGTTGAACCACACACACTGGTGCTTCCACCTGCCTCATGCCCTGGGTAGTCTCCACACCATCTTGGAGACAGGGTCCCCCTCCTACCCTCCATCCTGGACTCTCCACAGTGGCTCCTCTCTAGTCTGTCACTGGCTCCTGAGGTCTGGCTTGTGGCCAGCCACTACAGATCGATGCCCTGAGCAGACAGCTCTGGATGCTGATTACAGCTAGGCTTAGAACTCCCCTGGTCCACTCATCATGTCCACGTTTCCAGAAAGGAGGCTGAAGGATGGAGAACTACAGCGCTCACTAGAAACCTAAACCCAAGAGCTTCTGGTGGGGGCTGCTTTATGGATCCCCAAGAAGTCTCAGGCTTCCCACCCACTCATGCAATCCTCATGATCCCTTGGTAAGCTGGTGCAGACCAGGTCTTGCAGGTGTCACAGACAGAGAGGTTGTGCCAGGTGTCACAGCCAGGGAACCTCCCTGGATCCATGCCTGGTTAGCAGCAGAGACAGGATCTCATCTGGGAGACCACACACCTTTCCATCAGGCTGACTCTTGGGCCCGGATGTGGTGCCAATGCCAGCATGTGCTGAGTTCCCTGCCTTACATGCACAGCTCTGCACCGCGATGGCCTGCAGAGGTAGTAACAGCCACTTTCGATTCAGCAACTCCAAGCCAACAGCTGTCCTAAAGGGTGTGTGTGTGTAAGTGTGTATGTGTGTGTGTGTGTGTGTATCCAGCTATTCAGATATTCATGTATCTATCTAATGTCATTTAAAATTAGATCTAGTACACATCCCGTCTAATTTCACCAGTAAAGAATGACTATGTGCCAACAACTATTCTAAACATTTTATATGTAGGTAAAATCTCATCTCTCTATGCACATAATGTCCTTTATATACATCTTTCATGCATGTGTATAAATCTTATCTATGTAAAGCCTCATATGTATACTTACATATAAATATTATTTAATCATTCCATAGTGATTATATGCCAACAACTATCCTAAAAATGGTCATTTTATTACAAATTTAATTTATATAAAATATATAAAACCTTGCACATATATGAAAAATCCAAAAATCATGATACAGTGATGCTAACATCTATTCTAACTGCTAGGTAGATACGATTTCACATGTACGTATAAATCTCATTATGCAAATCTTAATCATCAAAAGGCTATATTCCAACAACTGTCTTATTGTATATAATCTAGCTTTATACATGTCATATACATGAAATCTCATGTATACATACATTACATATATAAATGCAAAGTCCTCATTATAAATAATATAAATGTGTAAATCCCACTTTATTATTTAAAAATCCCTAGGAAGCAGGCACAGTTGTTATCCCTGATGCCTGAGAAAGGTCAAAGACCCTGGGCACATGATACCAGGTTTCCTCTGGGCTCCTAGCACCCCCCCACTCAGACCTGTTCCCCCAAAGTCCAGAGAGCTGTCCCTGCCTCAGGTACATTTCTATCTTTCCAGCTGCTCCAGCCCCAAATCCCAGCCTCGGCCTTGCAGCCTCTCTCCAACTCCACGACCAATCCAAGAAGCAAATCCTGGTCTGTCTTCAAAATACACTCTGAATCGCACTTCTAACCCCCTCAACTGCCCCATCCCAGATCCACACTTTCGTCAGGGCAGGTGGACAATGGCGAGAGTCTCTTATTGGTCTCCTTGTGCTGTGCTCAGCCAGCTGGTGCCTATATTGTCACAGAGTGAGTCTGTTACAAGTCCTGATCTTGAAGAAAGGGCAAAGAGGCATGCAAAGCAAAGCTGACGACAATGACGACACGAGCAACAGAAAGAAAAAGGAAAAGGCCAGCAGAGGGAAGATCCTGGACTCCCTCATGGCTGGCCCCACCACTGAAAGGGGCCAGATGGAAAACAAGCAATGCATGCTGTGCGTCTTCTAGATCCCAGGGTGTCGGCGATTATGTAAGAACGGGTTCTCCTAGGATGCACTGTGGACAGTTCAAGACTCACGGCACAATGACCCACCATTCTCACATTCCTAGACCCCCAATTCTTTGACATCAGTCTGAGAAACCTGTGCCTCTGAGTGGTGGGGGAAGAGGAGGAAGGGGGAGGGAGAGTGCCCAGCTAAGAGCAGGGTGGATGCTCTGACAGGTAGAAGATCACATCATGCAAACCCCTTCCCCAGAATTCTTGTGGCCGTGAACCCCTGAAAGTCTTCTCTCTCTTTCCTGCAGGCCCCGCCCCACAACTTCTCTTGGGGCCAGGCTCTAGGGGCCAGGGCCTTCATTAACGTGCATTTCATCTTGTGTTGAATGAAGCAACGAGGTCACACATGTGGAGGACTTTGCATAATCCCATAGTGACGAATAGCATCGATTGCCACGGCAGCAGCCAGGACTGAACAAGACTAAGTTCCGCAGAGGTTTCTCACTATTGAGTATGGAGTCCTGTGCAAGGAACATTCCATGTATACTGGGGAAGGAAGTACATAAGCCCCCTGAAAATGAACCCATGATGCCCTTCCCATTCTAGGGTCCTCTGGACTTAAACTACCAGAGTCCCCCACCACGACTCTCTGATAACTTAAGCTTCAAGCCTCACATCCGTGAGTGGTGGTACCTATGTTTCCCAGGAACCCGTCCACTATCCAGAAGCAGCAGAAGCATCAAATCCCTAGAGGCCCCAGAAACTTCTCTGTTCAGAAACCACAGAACCTATTTGTGAGATTTACATACAGGCTGTGAAAGGGGGAACACAAGCGAATGCAGACAAAGTTTCAACCTTTTTATTCAAAGCAGCCTCTCACAATGTATAAATACTGCATATTAGCACACATGAAAAATACAACTTCTAAGGCACCCAGAAATGTGTTCACACACGTTACAGGACCATTCACAAAGAGAGTGTACGATTTGCTCTAGACAGTCAGCATTTGATAAGTCAGAAGATTATAATCCCTCAGTACTGCACCCAGTCTCAGAAATATTTACAGCGTGGTGAGAAAGGGTCAGCTGTACCTGCTTTATAATTCTATGAAGTACTCATACTTACAAAGACTCAGAACTAGTTAAAGACTCTCCCATGATAACCTGCCAAAAGAAAACAAGTAGCCTAATTTGCAAAGGTCTCCTTGGATTTTGGTGTGTGTGCTACGTCCACGATCAAATCCCAACACTCCTAGGTGGGCTGGGTAAGTTTTTGGTAGCCTGCTTCATTATCAGAAGTTTGGTAATAAGCCTTACCAGTAGAATACCACTTGTTTAGCATCAATGACCTCGCAAGCAGTCCATGGATGAATGATGTCATCATGAATGGGAATGGAGCATCACCTGGTGTGGGGATGGAAGGAAATTCTTCTCATGCCAAACAGTGATTGGAATGGGTCGATGTAGAACAAAAAGCACATGGAAATTTGGCAACTGCAGGATCTCGCTGCTCAGTGTAGATACATCTGAAGAACTTGCACTGAGGGTTCCTCTTCAGATGGAGCGGTCTACACTGCTCAGAAAACCTGGAAGAATGCCAGATCTCCACTTTTTATGATATGGTTACAGGCTGAGACTACACAGCAGAAACACCCACCTCGCCTGAGAAAGCAAGTTTCAGAGAAACTCATCTTTCGGAGCCTTCAAGGGGACAACAAATCCATCTGTATGGCCAGCCAGGGAGGAGGGCGAGGCTGTGGAATCGAGCAACTTCTCGGTGCCAGGGAGCATGCATACACACCTCTCTCCAGATGTGCCACCATCTATGAAACTCGTGCTTTGTTGAAAATGGAATTCTTTGGTCCTTGGTTTTATGAAAGGCAATATATTTTCACAATCCTATCAACACGGACATCAGTGAATGACTTCAAGCTGAGACAGATGGCACAGGGACAAATCAAACACTAAATGGAAAACTCTACATCCTCTGAACATCCTAGAGTCCCCTTTGTGAGGTCCACCTTCATGACCACCCAGCCAACGAGGGATTGGTCAGCCTACAGGGATGCCAGAGCTGAAGCTGAAACCAGACTTTCCATTTTCTGTAAACAAATTTGAGGCAAATCTCCAGGCTAATGGTAGGTACGTTGACTTTATGAACACCTCTTGCTAGAGATGAGCCAAGCAACTTATTTGACGTTAGCCATCCTACTGCCCTGTTCTCAAGGTCATCTTTCAAGCCTTGGGAAGGAGAGTCAGTTGGTAACTATGGAAGTGTGCCAAGTTTGAAAGGAATCGTAACTGTCAAAAAATAAGTAGCTCCAAATTCTAGTTGATTTGATTGGGCAGACTTGGTGGACATCCTGTCCACAAGCTGATGTGTCTCTGTTCAGTGTCTCATGTGGCCCTGCCTGCTAAGCTCAGGTTGAGCAGGGCATAACACCCAAAGTTCATGGATCAGACACTCCAGACAAAGGGGAATGCTGATGCTGCCACTGAAATCGCCTTCGGATTGTCTGTACAGTAAGACTCATGTGTAAACTTTGTGAACCTCTCTCAAGGAGTGCTGACCTCAGCCAGACTGTGTTCCAGGTTATCCACCAGGAACTCAGGAAGGTCAACTGCCAAGGTCAGAGTAGGAAGTGCCATGTGTTCAGAATAAAAGATGAACCAGCATCCTTCCCCATGACCATGCTAAACTATGTCTATGCCACAAGGGTGGCTAGGAAAACCTGTCCTTGACCCACTCGTATGGCCAAGGACATTCACCAAGGTGCCTGTCTGGCCCCTGCTGCCATCAGCTCAACCAAACCCTTTCAGCCCATTGACGTGGCTCCTGTTGTTTGGAAGAAACAACCCGTATTACCCTTATTTTTTTGTTTGTATTTTTTTTTGCAACAAGCTTAAGGCTCTGCTCACAAACTCCATCAACTGCCACACAGTGAGAATGTATGGGGAGATCTTAACTACATATGTAGTTGTGAGGGCTGGGAAATTTACTGATCCTAATGGTAAGGCTTATTCACAAATTCAATACATTTTCAAATTATACGTCAACCTCAATTACTTTGAGAAAAAATAAATTAACCTGCTCTTTCACAATATAAGAGCATTAGATTCGAACAGGGAGGTGGGTAGGGGGACAACATTGGCACCAAACCAGTATGCTATTTTCTGAAAGAACAAGTGATATTGATGGAAAAGATTGCCTAAAACGCATATCCTAACTTATCACAGAAATATAAAAGTTTATATTCTGAAAATATATACTGTATTAAAGTCTGTAAGCATTTCAACCAAAATTTGCAGAAATAACTAAGCAACACTTATCTACAACAAAAATATACATGCAAGACAACCCCCAAATGGTTTCCCTTAAATATCTACAAAGGCAAAGTGTAGATTTTTAAAGATTATACAAAACCATTTACAGAGAAGAAAATAAAATACTTAAGAAATCTCATTTAGAGTCTTAAATACTGTGTATATTAGTGAGTGTGTCTAAACTAATATATACAACAGATCTAAGTATCTGAATACAGAAACACAGAAGAGAAGCAATTCTGCATTTTAAATGTTCACTTAGGAAGATTTGAATATGATTCTATTTGTTTCTCTTTGTTACAAAAATTTCCACAGAAACTAGATTGGAAAATTTCATGAATGTGACTAAATTCCAAATTAAAAAAAAGTTTGCAAAATTTTTTAAACCAACAGTTAATAATGGGAAATGCAATTCAGTCTTCAGTCAAGGCTGTTTTTAAATGTGGATATTCAAAGATACAGCTGCATTGATCAAAGTCTATTGTGATGGTTATTTTTCCCGTTCTTACCCTCAACTTCATGTGGGAAAAACCTATTTTCATGCTTCAGAGAGAATCTCTCCTAGTTTCCTCTATACCAAACAAGAATGATATTTCAAATCAATTCTCTACTATCTTCTCACAGTTATCCAATTTCATTCTTAGAGGCTAATATTTGATAGTTTTTACCCACAAACATTATTCCAAAGCCAGAGGGGATGTGTGAGTAACTCAGCATCAGTTTGTGGCTTCCAAATGCAGAGGGGGGGTGGTCTGGCCATCTTAGTGATGCTCGGCGAACAGTCCTCGAGTGGTTCCAGGACAAGATGCCAGGGGCCAGAGCAGAGAGGAAAAGAGACTTCCACGCATGGCTCACAGTCGACACAGAGTGGACTGCCTGGAAGTTTCCATGGCAAAAGAGGATACACAGCTGTCCTTTTGACCCCAAAGGCCATTCTGGGATGGGGTTGGCAAGACCAGGAACAATCCCCCACAGTCTTGCCCCAGCGCTGGACGTGACAGACAGGGGTGGGAAGGGGGCAATGCAGGGTGCAGGGCGGGGTGCGGGAAGAGAGGGAGTTACCTGGATCTCATCTACATGTTATCAAAACAACCATCCAGAAAGCAAAGAATTCAGTAGTTTGGTCTACCCTGTTAGCAAACACATTTCACCAACTTTTGAGCAATTTGTGGAACATACTTCTTGAGGTGACTGTACGCAGACAACACAACACAGAAACAAACAAACAAAAATGTGTCCTTTAAACCACCTTCTGTCATACTCAGGACCTGTATCCCCAAGCACCTCACCTCATGGAGGGTTTCACCTTCCTGACTTCGCCGTCACGCAGTCGTTTACAAGATTGGATCGGATGTTACTTCCAAGGTTAAATAAAACCTTTCAGGCTCCTTCAGCCGGGAACAGATATAGACACCGACCAAAAGGGATTCTGAAGTATCTCTTCCATCTCCAGCAAGAAAAAACTGACCCTCCTTCCGTCAATTTAGCTGCTTCAGAAGGAAGACAAAGCAGGGGGCTCTTTCTGTGGAGGGATTAGCAATGGCAAAGAGATCACCTGCCGGGACATACAAGACGAGGCTTCTCCAGGGGCCCTGGGAGCACACATGCTTTCTCAAAGGAAGAGACAAAACCCCGCCGGGGATGTGACCACAGGCTTTTGGATGTTCCCCTGCAAGTAATGCCTGGTGGTCCACAGGACCCCACATGGATGAGGGAGGGGCACACAGGACATCCATTCCATCTTCCTCTGGCTGGGTTCAGGACATGTGCTGTCCCCTGCTGGCTCCCCATGGCCAAAACGGCACAGGATAAAGGAGAAGGAAGGAGAAGGGGAGAGGTTTCCTCTCCTCCTTGACCTTTGTAAAGTCATGGGGAAACTCAAAAAAGAAAGAGGCTTTCCTGAGAGGGAACTAGGCTGTCTTGGGATCAATAGTCCAGAGAAACTTCAGATCTTCTGTGTAAAGGACATGTAGCTCTAAAGTAGGCACACAACCTGTTCAAAGCTCACACCATGAATCTTCTCACCTGCCTGGCCTAGAGAAGACAGACCAGAGGAGAGACAACTGTGGCAATGACCTTCTCCTTCTCAGCCCCCCTCATCTCCCCAGCTGTGTCTAACTCTTAACTGCTCTACTCAACTCTCTCCAAGGAAGGGTCAAGGGAGGCAGGTGGCAACATGGAGGAATAGAAGAGGGGCCTCTGAGAATGCACATGAGAACCTTACTTTCTTGGGTATATGACTACAACCCCGAGCATGCTCATTTCTCTGCTCTAATCTCTCATTTTTCTCCTCACCAAGCAAAATCAAACCCAACCCCTCCCTGAGCCAAGGACTATGATCTGATGTTGTCTATTCAGCCCTGGGGTCCCCGGGTAGCCCAGTGGCCTTAAAGCAGGAGACATGAACCCCGGTTACTGCTCCCTTATGTGAAACTACCAGGAGAATAGATCACCTGGGCTTCTGGAGGTAAAAAAATTCAGACCTACTGACAGCTCAGGGCAGCCCTATCCAGACCTCACTGCACATGGAAGAGAATGGACTCTGAAATCCAAGGTCAGCAGTTGTCCCAAAGAAAAATGTGGCACCCTAGGGCCCATGTAGTCAATTCGCAGGCAAGGCGTATTCCCCACCTCCTCCCGACACCACACAGCGAGGGCCCGGGTTTGTGCCAGCACCACTCAGCCTGGAGGGCACTTTGTCTCCTGAAAGGCAGCAGAGTGAAGAGAAAACTCTCCCAAGATTTCCCTTAAGCACGAGCCCAAAGAACTGATGTTGTGCCAGCTGAAAACTGTTTTCCATGCAGAGGACCTGGTACAGAGCCGTTCCTTTTATCTACTGAAATCCTCCCATTTCCGTCTCTCTGCATCTTATTTCTACCTGTTCATTGCTAGAATGCACCAAACGACAGGAACCTGGTTTGGGATTTGGTCCGGGGCAGTATGAAAATAACATCTGTGTCAGTGACAGATTATCGTAATATATAAACAAAAATAAATAAATTAAATAAGTCTGATTAAAGAAAAAACATTGTCCTAGTAGTTCATGTTTTTGCAAAACTAGCTTTACATATAACGCACATAAATTATCAGAATTTCCACTTACATTGTTTTAAAAATATATATTTAACAAAACATTCCTAAAGGTACAATATCTGGGTTTGTAAATCACTCAATTAGGTTTTGAGACCAAACCCTAAGAGTCACACAGGTCTGCATCAGAGAGGAGACTGAGGCTGCTCTGCATGATCATTTTGTTCATTGGTCTGGAAATTCCCTAAGATGCATCCTCCCCTATCACCAGATCTGCATGTAACCGGAGAGAGCCAAGTCAGAGGCACTGTGTAGACACAGCCTGAGTCAGGAAGGCGGGGAACGGCTTGTCCCCGCCCGGGACCAGGATGGTGCATTTCAGCAAGTAGGGACAGGACAACAGTCCCTGGCAGAGGCCTGGGAAGAAAGACATAGCCCTCGGTAGCTCTGGAGCCAGTTGGGGTGGGGGCACAGGGGAGGCCAAGTATGCTGCGTTTCCCATCTGCGACACAAAACCAAACCAATGAGGAACAAGCAAAGGACACGAGAAAATGGACACAACCCTAGGTTTTAAGAGACGCCTTGACAAACTCCTTGGCCGGGCACACACTCTGCTCCAATTTCCAAAGCACGGGGCAAAGCTGGAGTCAGATGCCCTTGAGAGCTGCGGCAAGTGGGCCAGAGCCCTCAGACTTCATAAATTTTGTCCTGCAGGTAGCTGAACAGGGAGTCCAGGCCTTTGGAGGAGCTCCACAGCTGCTTCAGCATCAGGCATTCCTTCTCATTCACATCTTCCAGCACCGACTTCAGGAAGCTCCGTACCAGGCATTTCGACTCCTCCAACACCTGGAGGGAAAAGCAGACCCTTGTGAGCAGATGCCAGGGATGCCACTCGCTTGGGAAGAGCTCACCTGGCCTCCGAGACACCAAAAGAAAGAGGAGGCCGCCTCCTGCAGTCAAGGCCAGCACCATGGGGTGCAGGAACAGACTCCAGGTGTGCCAACAGGTTGCCACCTCTGTCCTGAGATGGCTGGGTGGGGCCCGTGACCCCCACCACAAAGCCTTGTTTTTTACCCCCAGGGTGACAGTATTGATTACTCTGGGTGTCCTAAAAAAGTTTGGGAAATCCTGCTTTTTAGTATCAACCTGTGTTTCAGTTTCATTATCTGTGGCCCAGGAATAATGACACCTAACTCAAGGGTGGCTGAGGTGGAAAGATGATGAGATAAACTAATGGTTGTCAAAGGATCCATAGAACTCCTCCCCACCCATCCAGCCCCCCGTTCATGAAGAGCAGTAGAAATAATAGTAGCACTTACTGAACCAATGATCAATGACAATTGCAATAATCACAGGAATGAGTTGTAAGGGTAAGGGCATAGTCATGCTATCATATCACAGAAGTAGGACTAGTAGCAATAGTAATGTAGTAGTAATAATGGTAATAGCAACAATAACCATAGCAATAAGTAATAATAATCGTGCTAATCACAGTAATAACACCGACAATGCCACATTAACTCTACAGCCTCTGTGTTCGTTTCCTGCATTCTTCCATTTGCCCATCATGAAAATTCTGCAGAGAGGCGCTGTTTTTAATCTCTATAGATGATGGACCACAAGCTCAATGAAGTCGTGTTGCAGTGCCTGGTGGATGTGGCCTGCAAACCTTCTGCTGATTCTGACAGGTGTGTGGCTGCCTCCCTTGGCAGAGGCCCTGCAGGAAAGTGAGGCCTCTGGACATCTTTCCACTAGCCTTCGTTGGCCTCTGCTGTCTCCAAGCACTTGGAATCAGAAAAGGCTAGATAAAAGCTTGTCGGCCTAAGCAGGCCAGAGGGGACTATGACCTATTCCTCAGCTTGGGCAAGGTGGTGAGCACTGGCTGGCAGAGTGTCAACTTCCTCTCGGAATGTCCTAAGAACACCATCTGCCAGAAGCTGGGAGGGGGCCGCGGGGGAGGGAGATGACTTTCTCCAGCAAATCACCCCAAAGACCCTGGATTCATATCTCTATAGCAGAGATTTCCCTGCAATACTCTTCAGCAGCTACTGTCACCTGAGATTCTCTATCACCAAGTAACCAAAGTAGAGCCTAAAGGCCTGCCTCCTACACTCACTTCAGTCCCTCAAATGCAACAATGAGCCTAAACCCCCCCACTGGGTTTCAGCCCTGTGCCCTCACTCACGCTGTTTCCTCTGCTTAATATTCTCACCAGCCTCTCTTGAGCTAAGCCAATGGTCACCAAATATTCCCAATGGCCAAGGTTTCCTTAGTCAGGTAATTTTCAGAGCCAAAACCAAGAGATCTGGTGATCAGGATGTGGTCAGAATGATCAGGATGTGGATGAGCAAAGTACTTGGCCGCTGATGAGTGTTCATCAACAATGCTGAGACCACACCCCATGGCACCCCATGACCATCATCACCACCACCCCACCATCAACATTATCAATGTCATCTCCATCATCCCCAGCATCATCATCCCCAGCATCATCATCATCTTCACCCCCATCATTATCCCCCTCCACCATCATCCCCAAATCATCATCATCACCACCATCATCATCACAATTGTTATGCTTCCAGGGAGCACAACTTACACACAGCAGCTAATGAGGCAAATCGGCATGACAGCTGGGTGGGGGGTGCAGGGTAAGGGGAGAAATAATGGTGTATCTTGGGTCCTAAATCCAGCCCAGCACCTTGCTAATAACTCTGAAGCACAGCAAGTCCCGGGTCTGAATCTCTTAAAGTGCCTTTCTCATCTCATCAACAGCCCTGGGGCTCTTGGGCCTTTTCTCCACCTTTCAACAGGATATTTCCATACTGTGCTCAGAGTGATTTTATCAGACAAAATCGACATTTAATTAAAAACTGGCGCCTCTGAGGAGGTGTTTTTTATTTATCTATTTTCCAATGTGTCTCCAGAGTCAACCAGTAATGTTTAAATGCTCTGAGCACTTGGTGGGCAGGATAAGGTGAAACACAAGATGGTGGGGTTGGGGTGCTACTTCTCTTGAACTAGGCTGGTGTAGCACCAGCCTTGGCTTCCAGTTTCTTTGAAATGTCTGGGTGTTTTGTGTGTGTGTTGTGTGTCTGTGCACGTTTAGGACTTTCTTTTAAGGCAACACCCTCTATCTAAATCTCTCCTATGAGACGATGGGGAATTTCTAATCATGCAGACTGTCTCCTCTGAACTGCAGCTCTCAATACCCAGATGAGGCACTTGTTAAAATCCAGGACCTGTGGCAAGTCAATGAGCCCCTGTAGGCCCTGTGGCCCTTGTCTGTGAAGTGGGTCTACTGTGAGGACAAGCACGCTATGGCTAGGAACTCACCACGGCACTGCATGACGCCATCTCCTTGACCCGCAGCATGACCTCCTGGCTGAACGTGGTTGGCCAAAAGACCTGGGACACGAGGCCTCGGCTGCATGCCTCCTGTGCTGTAAGCTTCCGCCCGCAGAACAGCATCTCATTGGCCTGAAAAAGCAAAGGCAGGCTGAGAGCGGGTGCCTTCTGTATCTGCTGGGAAGGCCTGGGCAGGTGCCTGCAACTGTCCCAGCTCTCAGAGGCAGAATTCTTAACCAGAGGCAATTGTTTATGTCCACATGTATCTTTCTGAGACAAGGGTCCAAAGTTCTCATCACAGGCTCCAAAGGAGTAGAGTCCCTATTGTAAGGAGTGACCCTACTGGGACTAGGGATGCCCAATATCCTGCCTCCACTCCTCACCCCCCAACACCTGGCTAAGGACCCACAGGAGCGGGTACATACCTCAGGCTGGGTGCACTTCAGTGCCAAGAGCTAGGACAGAATGATGGGGCAGGGTGGATGAGGATCTGACTAGGATATCACAGCTCTCTGAGGTTCCCATCTAGATTGGGGTGAAGAGGATGGTATCTTCCTCCCTGTCCAGTTGCAGGCTACAACCACTGTGGGGCCCCTGCTCTGTGGTCAGGCAGGTGCATGGAGGAAGGAGGGACAACAGCCCAGACCTGCTAGGACTCCCTCCCCACAGAGCTCCACTCCTAGACCTGCCAGTTACCGGAACCACTAAGTTCCTTATCTGCCTTCAGCCAGTTACAGTGGCAACTAAAGAGACCCTGAGTAAGCAGCACCATGATTCCAATATGGAGAGGCCTGTATCTCCCAGAAGCTCTGTCAAGAGGGTGGAAAGCTCCTCTGCCTGTCTCAGTTTCCTCAGCACCCCACTCCCCAAAGAGTTTCCTTTGACTCTGAAGTTGGCAGCTATCACGCATGATCTGGGACGGGTGACGTAGATAAAGTCCTAAGCAGAGTTGGGGTGCAGAAACCCACCAGAACTTACTAGCAAGGGAACCTCACGCTGGTGACTAGGGTTGATTGGTCACACCATGAGACAGGGTCCTCATGTTCGTCAGGAGGGACCCCCATCTCCTTCACTGACAGACACATTCCCCCCCCACTGACTTGCCACCCATCCGGCTCCCCTGTGCTTCCTTTCCTGTCCCTCTACTGAGTCACGCTTGGATCTCTGCATGCATTTCCCCCTTTGTTCTGCTTGTCATGAGTGGGTCATGATGACCGAAAGGACAGGCTTTCATGCTGGTGTGGAAAGATTGATTAGGTCATGAATAACGCATTTGGTGAGAGGTCTGAAGACAAATATATGTCATTATACTTATTTAGAAACACCTCTGTCTCAGGAAGAGGAACCGGAAGAAAGGAGCTTGGTAGGAGCCACACAGAACGCCTGGCAAGCATCTGCCTCAATCAGCAGCATTCTTGGAGTTTCAGACATGATTGAAATTAAAGGGAAGAAGAGATAGGACCAAACAACTTAGCATTTGTAACCACAAAGATAGGTAGCAACCGGAGTGACCCATAGCTGAGGTCCAAAGGAAACGTGTTTGCCTCCTGGTTCTGCAATGCTCTGCCACCAGAGAAACCAGGGCCTAATATGCCCAGACTGCCTGAATCCAAACGCACTTGTCTGTCCTGCCTGCCGGTCCTGCTGTGTAGACCAGGCGATGTGGTGGGTTTAGGGCTGATGGTGGTCTCAATATCTGGCTGCTCTTTCAGGTTATCATCAAGGAGCTGCAAGCCCAGACAGCAGGATAGCATGGGAGTGCCCACCCTTCCAGACTCGCTCACCCTGCCAAGAGGCTTCTCAAATGCCCAGCCTCCTGAGCTCTATCAAGTGTACAGCAGTGTGGCTGTATGTGCAGTTTCTTACCACTCCCTGCCCCAGGGAGGAAAGCAAAGGGTCACAGGACCAGTAAGCTCAGACTCTTGAGAAAAACCCAGACTATAGGGTCAGACAACTTGTGCCGCCTTCTGCTTTGCCCTGTTAACCCACAAATCTCTTTGCCTCTCTAAGCCTCAAGTTATTCAGGCAAGTGTGAGGATTCAAAGAGATTACAAAGGAGTGGGGAGGCATTCCAAGAAACAGACTGTCAAGGACAGAGCCTGTGTGCTATTCATCTCCATTTCTGTGCCAGGAGATGACGCCGGGGCTTGCTGAGAGCGCTCCCTGATGGGCATGGGCTGAGGAGAGCAGTAGCTGCTCTAGAACAACTCAACACTCTCAACCTTAGTTTCTCCACCTATAAAATGGTGAGAAAACAACTATAATTGCAGATGTTGGGATGAGGGAAGGAGATCATCATGCAGAAAGCATCTGTCTGACACAATGTCTGCACATAGTAGGTGCTCATTGACAGCTCAGGAACCTCCTGGGATAGCTCACTCAGTCTTTGCAGTCTGAAGTCCAAGTGGCTGTGGGGTGTGATGCAAATCGGTGGCCACACTGTAAGAACGGGAATGGGAAAGGGGCAGCAGGGGATGTCTAAAGGACCAGGTGGCCTGTGCAGAATCTCAGGACCTCAGAGGGACCCTGTGCATAGGCACTCTAAGCACCCAAGGGTTTTACCCTAGGACCTCAGTCTGGGCAGGGAGACAGAGAATCTCCAGAGCAGAAAAGGCAGTGAACTCAGTATACTGGATTAGCAAAACAGGATGTGCCTGAACTGAGCTCACAAGGTATGAGGATTACCTGGGAGTCACCTGGAGGTTACCTAGAGGTTACCTGAGAGTCTCCTGGGGACTACCTAAGGGTTACCTAGGAGTTACCTGGTAAGTTTTGGAATTTCTGGGATGTGTACGTGAAGGCCACAGATGAAAGAGGAAAAGGAACAAGAATGGATGGGTTATGAGAACTTCTTAGCGGAGAAGCTCAAACTCAATCCAGAAGACCCATCAAAAACTGGATGGTCAAGGACACACCGGACAGTGAGGTGCTGGAGACATCAGATGGAGAGGGTGTGGAAGGGGTTCCAGGGGCATCTGTCAGAGCAGAGCAAGCACACAACGGAAGGGCTGATCACAGACCTTCAACGAGCTGGAGGTCAGGTGTCCCTTGCAACAGAATGATGGTGTGTTTTCTTTCACACTAGATGAATACCTCTATCCACACACACAGGAGAAATGAGGTGGCTTACCAGCGCGACACCCAGAATCTGGGGGAAGGTATATGAGGAGCAGCCGGCGGGAGTGAGGCGGATGGTGGCATAGGGGGTCTGAAACCAGGCCTTCTCACTGGCCCACACGATGTCGCAGAGGGGCAGGATGGAGGCGCCCAGGCCCAGGGCGGGCCCATTGATGGCCACCACAATGGGCTTCTTAAACTGGATAAAGGCCTTCACAAAGTCCCTGGGAGGAGAGAGAAGACCCTCTTTAATAGGTGACCACAGTTCGCCAAGACCCATTTGACATTCTGGAAACTACTGAAACAACTTCCCTCCAGGTCTGTGGAGCAACTGCAGGTCGTCGGGGATGGGGGGATTGGGTGCCAGGTAAGGATCTCCTCTTCCAAGACACCAGGCCACTGAGCTGTAGACACAGTCTTGGCATGCTCGGTGGTTGAAGACTGATCTTCAGAGGGATGTCCCAGGCCATGCCCACTGTCCAGTACTGCACCCGGTTACCATCTCCTTTCACTCGCAAAAGCCATGGTTCAGACAATGACTTATATTACAGATATCCTAATGAAGATAACCTGAATCAGAACTAGATAAAGAACCAAAAGGAGGGTTGCCAGAAAGGCACATTTGAACTCAAGGAGAGGATTGTTCTGACAACACTGGTTGAAGGTGGGGTGTGGGGCTTCTGGAACTAAAGATTGTGCACTATTGGAGGTATTATAATTTGGCTTGATAATCACGTTGGGTGATGGTGTAGAAGAATTCAAGGTTCAGATAGTTGGAAAAGGCTGGGGTTGAAGACATTTAGGATTTCTTTTTCAATCCTTGGATTGTCTGTTTTGAATTACCTGAAGGGATACCAGACCTAGTTTGGGTGGGTAACACTGATGAGGACCAATGTGTTAAAGTGGTTTTGACCAAAATTGTGGAAGGATGCTGGCTCTTTCCTGGAGGCAGGAGGCATCTGGATAATGGCTATGAGATCAGACAATGTTTTGTCTCCTGCTTTTCTGCATTGAGCAGGGTTATAGCTTATATCTTGACCTATTAAGCAGAGTCATCCACAATAACCTCTATCCCCTTTGCCATAAAAGCATTTCTGCCTCTTCCCTAGTTGCTATACAAGATCTATAAAATCTTAACATCCATCTGGACATGGAGGAAAGATCCAAGACATACACTAAAGCCTGAGTTCTTCATTATTCTCAGATGGAAGATCCAAAGCTACCAAGAAGTCACAAGAATAAAATCAAAATTTCTGACCATGACCTTGCTATGCTTACCTCTCCAGGCTTATCTCATATTTCTCTTACCACCACCCCCGCCCCCCACTGTGCACAGGCCCCATGGGCCTCCTGAGAGGTCTTGGAAAACATAATTATCACAATTTGCAATTACTGGCTTGCAATTTTCTTGCTTACTTGTTTTATAGTCTCCTCCCCCTTCAGCTCCTTAAGGAAACCCAAAGGTCTGCCTTGTGTCCTGCTTGGTCTCCCTGTGTATTGGAATTGGCACACAATAAATAGCTATGGATGTATAATGGAGTCTCCCAGAACAAAGGCAAAGACAGCAGGCCTGTGGCAAGGATCAGTAGGCATATTCCAGACCTGTTTTCCCTCCCCTCTTCTTTCTGGGTCTATTGCTAGAACGCATTTCCCAGCCTCCCTGTATCAGCTCTGGCCAAGCGACCAAGTGCTGGCTGATGGAATGGGAGTGGAAACTTTATGTCCCATTTCTGGGCCTGGTGCCTGGAAACCTGTCAACTGAAATCCACCTTGCCTCTTCATGCTGTTGAGTCAGACAATCTTGGAAGACATTTGTTGAGCCACAAGATGGGAGAAGTATGGGTTCCTGAATCACCACTTGGAAGACAGGCATAGGCTGATCAATAGCATCTGTTTTAGGTTCACATATGTGAGAAGCAGATTTCTATGATAATCAAGCCATTATCTATCTTTGGGGTATATTTGTTACAGCAGCTAATAAACTAATACTAATGTTGAGCTGATTTCTCCTTTCTCAATTGATAACCTTCCCCTTGAACTCTTACCACAATAAGCGAGTACCATAGATGATATGTTGGGATTAAAATCAACTGTGAAAAGACTACTTGATGATCTACATGGGAAAGGGTTATCTTTTTTTTTTTTATTTTTATTTTTATTTATTTTTATTTTTATTTATTTTTATTTTTTTCTTTTACTTTTTTTTATTTTTATTTATTTTTTTAATAATAAATTTTATTGTTATATTCCCCATACAATTGCAGCCCCCCCATTCTGACCCCAATCCCTCCCCTCCCGCCCCCGCCCCCGCCCCCTAAAAGTGTCTCTGGTTCATAGTTTTTTGTTGATTTTGATTTTCACTTTCTTATAGTTATTCATTTTCCTGGTCCCTTATTTAAGTTTTCTAGATTCCTGTTATGAGTGAGACCATCCGGTATTTTTCTTTTTCTTTTTGGCTTATTTCACTGAGCATGATCCCTTCCAGCGCCATCCATGTTGCTGCAAATTGCATGTGTTTATCTTTTTTGAATGCTGAGTAATATTCCATGGTATATATGTACCACATCTTCTTGATCCAGTCATCTATTTTTGGGCATTTGGGTTGTTTCCAAAGCTTAGCTATTGTAAACAGTGCTGCTATAAACATAGGGGTGCAGGTGCTCTTTGGAATTGATGTTTCTGTGTCTTTTGGGTAAATACCTAGGAGTGGAATTGCTGGATCATATGGAAGTTCTATGTTTAGTAGGTCCAGAAATCTCCACACAGCTTTCCATAGTGGTTGGACCAGTTTGCACTCCCACCAACAGTGCAGAAGAGTTCCTTTTTCTCCATACCCTCGCCAGCATTTGTTGTTGCTAGTTTTTTTAATATGTGCCATTCTCACTGGTGTGAGATGGTATCTCATGGTAGTTTTGATTTGCATTTCCCTGATGGCAAGTGATGTTGAACATTTTTTCATATGCCTGTTGGCCATTTGCATTTCCTCTTCAGAGAAGTTTCTTTTTAGCTCTTCTGCCCATTTTTTGACTGGATTATTTTCTTTGTTGTTGTTGAGTCTCATCAGCTCTTTGCAGATTTTTGTGATCAGTCCTTTATCATTAGTGTTGGGTGCAAAAATGTTCTCCCAGTTGGTGGGGTTTCTCTTTGTTTTTGTTATTGTCTCTTTTGCTGTGCAGAAGCTCTTTAATTTGATGTAGTCCCAGCTGTTTATCTTTGCCTTCACTATCACTGCTTTGGGTGATGTGTCTGTAAAGATGTCTTTGATGTGCAAATCACGTAGTGTTTCGCCTATATTTCCTTCTATATATTTTATGGTTTCAGGTCTTATGTCTAGTTCTTTAATCCATTTTGAGTTGATTTTTGTGTATGGTGTGAGGTAGTGGTCAAGCTTCATTCTTTTGCATGTAGCGACCCAGTATGGGAAAGGGTTATCTTATGACTTAAGTTCATCATGAAAGTACTCCTTTGACTCTAGGTTTAAGGTATCACCTTTCCTGATGCCTTAAAGTAGATGATGGGATTATCTCTGTCACTGCTTACCCTGCTGTGGCTGACCCCCTTTGGGGACTTCTGGCACCACGATACTCTGATTCCTGGTTTTCCAGTGGCCCATTTTCTGTCTTCCAAACCTCATGGCATTAGTTACTGGGTTTTGTGAAAGCTTCTCAGCAAATGCAATTTAGAGTCTGCAGGGGAAGTGGGGATTTTTTGCAACATCCTTGGAACCACAGAGTTTGGATGATTTTTAACAGACATTTCATTCCCAAACATCCTCATACAATTTCAGGATCTTAGATCTCAGAGTTGGGAAGGATTATCAAAGCCACTGAACTAAATCTTCCACAGAGTACAGAATTCCCTCCATAACATCTGCAAATGCATCATCTGGCCTGTCAAGCATTTTTAATAAAAATGGTCCATCTCTATCAGGACACCTCCTGGAGTGGACCTCGCTCATGCTCCTGTTCACTCTGCTCTACCAACTGTGTACACAGTCCTACAGGCATTGACTTCAGCCCTGACATCCTTCTAGAGCCTTGCACTCTGAAGTTTCCAACCTGAGTTCTGTGCTGGGGCCTCAGGGACGCCCAGGAGGGCTAAAGGAACAAGTGTGCACAAGTCCGACCCTCCACTCCCAGCCCCTTCTGCTTCAGTCAGCCTGGCCACTTCATTTCCTGGATGTAAAATGTGATGCGGAGACATCCCTCCCCATCATTTTCTCTCACCTCAAGCAGCAGATCTCTATCACAGGGGCCCAGTGGATGCAGACTCCAGACAACAAACAGGATATTGCATTTCAAACTCTGCTGCTCGGATATCTGATCTTGAGTCCTAGGGTGGAGGGCTGTGCTGGGGAGATTGTGTGTGGATCTTCCCAGAGTCAAAGGCCGCCATACTGACCTGGCCCTCGCTGCTCCCCCCACTCAACTCCAGCCCTGCAGCTCCTGCCCACCACGCTGCTGGGCTGTGCAGGAGTGGCACAAGGAGCAGGCATTTCAGGGTATGAGAGACTTGGGGTCAAGACTCAACTCTGCCTCTACCTAGTGCTGAGATCTTAGACAAAGTACCTAGGCTCTGGAGTGCCCTTTTCCTCCTTTTAAAATGGGGACATCAAGTCTGCCTCCCCTGAGGGCCGTGTAAGAATTAAATGGAACTGGGCACACAGGGCCCCAGCACACACGGAAAGACTCTGATGAACTGTGCTCATGACCATTCGCATTGCTTCTGTGGAAGGCAGACATGACTTCCAGTCAATTCTCATGACTCTGGAAGTCACTCTTCTGGCTGACAGGAGGTTCATAAGCAAAATTCTGTACCAGGGGCTATTTAGATTTCACCTGGACCAACTGCATTTCTTTTATGACCCAGTTATCCATTCTCTTTAACCAGAGTCATGGAGGGCAGTCGTCCCACTGCCAAAGCTCAGAGCCACGTCATCTGTTTTGCGGCCTGTGAGTGCAGATACATGTAGTGACAGTCATCCTGGGACTCCAGAGGTGTTCCAGGGGCCCACTCCTCATCAGACCCAGGTTTTATTAAGAGTAATAGTAGGTAAGTAACAGCACAAATGATGCTTTACATCTACTCTCAGTGTCTAGTAGGTGCCGGGAATGGTCCAAGGAATTCACGTGGGTTATTTGATTAATCTTTGTCCTGACAACCCACTGAAGAGGCCAGGCCATCACTTTATGGTTCCCATTTTCCAGATGAGCTAACAGGCTTCAACGGATTACAACATGCCTAAGGTTGCATGGCTGGCAGTTTTCTGGCATCTGCTAGCTCACTGCACCACAGAAACTTGATGCAAGGGCCCATGTGTGCACACTCTAGCAAACAAGAAGAGGGTGCTGTGGTCAAGAGGTATGCCTGGGCCCTGGAAGCCAGCACAGCCCAGAGCATGCCCCAAAGGAACTTAGTATGTCAGGAGGTTATATGGTTCTGCAGCCAAAACATGCTTCAGTTATGCTAGATTCTGAACATAGTTCTTTCATGAATGCTTCTCAGACCGGGGATATGTTATCATGCTGGAAATAATCTGTAGAAGTGGGGACAGAACTTCAATGTGGCCCAGACTCGCATATCCATAGTGCCTTTCACTCACGGTGCTTCAATGGAAATGCATAGAATACTCTCTGGGAGAGTTTTCTCTACTACATCAGGTCTCCTAACCCTGGAGCTTGTGCTCCAAAGAGAGCCCTTGAGGCAGATAGAGTCGAGACTCCCAATAGGAGTTGGTGGTAAGGAGCAAGTGCAGTCATTTCTGACCCCGTGGAATGTGGTCTGCCCTTCCATGCTGCCTCCCCTGAAATCCTTACCCTCCTAGTCCCTGTATCACCTTCCCCTTCACCTTCTTCTCTAATCATCACCTTTTCTCTCTTGCACAAAAATAATTTGGATCTTTCTGCTGTCCAAACATTTTCCGCACAATCAATGGTACAGAAACCACTTAGGAGTTTTCAACCGTGGCTGCATATTAGAACCACCAAGAGAACATTCAAAGGAGAGCAGCCCCACCTCAAGCTAACTAATTTGGTGCTTCCAGGGGTGCTGCCAAGCTGATGGGTTTTAGAAAAGCTTCCTGGGACACTTTGTACTGAGGTGGCTGAGAACTTGTGATACAGAGGAAATTCCATTCCCTTTCCCTGTGTTCCTGCCCAGCTCATGAAGTAGGAACTTCCAATCCCTTCAAAGAATCAGAAAGAGTTCTCTCTGCCAGCTTGCCCTCTGCTCTGCCTAAGAGAAGTTCACCTTCCCGATGAGATGTAACTGTCTTAAGTTCCACTGGACTCACTTCTCCAGAGGTGGGCTAATGCATTCAGCATATCCTCCAGGTTAGGGTTCCTTGTGCTATGCAGAAGCCAATTCTGCCCCCCAGTCCCAGCCTTAGTCCTTAATGCAGCTTTCCTATAGCTCATGGTATTTTTAGTCCCAGTCTGTCCCATGCATCTCCTTCTCTACCAGGCAGGTTCTCAGAGTGAGTGCTTCTCAGGAGGCAGGACACTGAATTGTGACCCTAGCCTGACACATGCAGTGAGCGCGTGCCTTCCCAGGTGCAGAACAAGGGAGATGTGAAGGCAGCTAAAAGGCCCTTAATGGAAATCAGATTCACTTACTTTTGGTGAATCTATGAAGAATGGGGAAATAACTACCCTTCAGTGTCCCAAAAGAGACAGTGGTATCTTGGCTCAGATGTTACCCCCAGAATCCCAACTTTTGCCCCAAAGGCACCAAGAGATGGAAAAATATTCCCTACCACCCAAGGTCTACAAATACACAACTATACAAGGAATCTGCCCTCTTCCTCCCCAGGTTTAACCAGGCTGCAGGAACACCCAGCTCCAGGTTGCAGGAACACCCAGAAAAGCAAAGATTTCACCAGCAGGCAAAAGATGGGAGTATATGGATAAAACACAGGAAATACCAGATGCTGATATTAATATAAAAAAATAAAATCTCCTTTTGATCAAAGGAATAAAGTAGGACCTAACCTAGGAAGCAAAGGCATTCCTAATCTTTAGCAAAAAAATACAGGATGCCCAATTAAAATTAAAATTTTACATAAACAACAAATATTTTTAGCATAAGTATAGCTCAAATATTGCATGTGATATATTTATGCAAAAAATTTCTTGGCTGTTTGAAATTCATATCTAACTGAGCAGACTATATAGCTATGTCAATGTGATGACACTAGGCAAGTCCCACAGTGACTGGACAGCAGACCTCACCTGATGGCTTCAGCGATCCGGGTGCTCTCCTTTCGCCGGTCACTAGACAGGCGGCCAATTAGGTAGGAGTAATCCAGGCCACTGCAGAACACGCTGCCCACTGCGCTGAGAAGCAGCAGCTTGCTGTCATCTGTGGCTGCATTGCAGAGTGCTCGCCGGACCTCCTTCATGATCTGCAGGGAGAGAAAGAGGGACAGGGGTGTTAAGTTTCTATCCAATAAGCCCAGGGCTCTCAGACTTCCTCACTCCCGCTGAATGCCTTTCCTGTGAGTGTAGAGGTGGGTAAATATGTTCTATGCAGGGACCCTCCCCCGAATATAAGCCAAATCCAGACCAAGCAATGAAATACCAACTCCAACCACTACCCTGCACCATTCCTGAAGCAGCCAAAGACAGCTAGTCAGGTGGTATTAGGGTCATTGGCTGCAGACTTGGAAGTCTGGGATGGAGTTGTTTGATCCCTAGAAAATCTTTCCAAATCTTCCAGCATTTGCTAGATTAGCTTTTTTTAAAAAGTATGGGGGTAAACTCCTCCTATGCACAACCCAGGTTCATAGCTTTATAAGCTATCTCCAGAAGGTCTGGTTTAATTATGCCCTTGCTCATCCTAAATTCAACTAAGAACCTTGAATGCTGGTTGGTGGCACTTGAAAGTGGGCTTTGGCATCAGACCCATAAAATGATGAAGGTACCAAAGAAAATAACCATCAAACACAAGTTTTGTAACCAGCTAAACTATCATTCAAAAGCAAAGGTAAAAATTAAACATTTTTTGGTAAGTGAATGTGTACCACTCTTGACCCTCACTGGAAAAACTAGAAAAGGATGCATTTCAAAAAGAAGAAAAATATATTCAGAAAGAAAAAGCACATGCACAGAACAACAAAGCCAGCAAAGAAACCAACATAAGAATTGAATATAAATATCATAACACTGATTGACGGTGGTATTGGCACAACTTAGAACTATAGTCCCAAGTAATAATATTATATATGACAAGAGGTGGGAATGACTAGTTAGAGCATGTCAAGGAAGGAAATGATTACATGTAAATGTTGCTATGTGTACACAGCTGAAGGATAACTTCTTAGAAACACAGGAATTACAATGCATGGTGAGCATATTATAAAGGAAGCACAATCACTCAAACCAACAGAAGTCAGGGAAAGAGAAAAATAACTGCAGGAAGTTCATAGTAATAGGAAACAGGGATGCATTTGCTTGGGGGAGTAGGGCAACAGGGAGGCAACACATGAATGGGTTTCTAAAAGATCATACTTAATTTTGCACTGAGTATAATTAAAGGGTACAGTGAGGAAACATTATGAGAGTATTGCTTTTTAATTTATACTTTTAAAAGAATCTCCCATCTATAAAGCACTTAGAGGTACCATGGATTGCATCAGCAGTTTGCACATAACATTTATTCCAAACAAAAACCTGGTAAAGGGAAGAAATGGTATCCTAGCCTTGGAAGACTCAGAAAAGTGAAGCAAGTTGCCTAAAAGGACAGTAAGAGGGAGGACCACAATGCAAATTTAACCCCAAGATCCTTTCTCTCCCCACTACTCCACACTGTAGGAGGATCTTAACAAATGAATGCATTTTCATGGAAAAAGTAGGACTAGATGTCACTCTGAATCAAGAATCTCCCAGCCTGTGCTCGGCGAGAAGGACAAGAGAAGCACTTTGCACTTGAGTAGGGTATAAGCCACAGATACTCATTTCTAACATCAGAAAAGCCAACAGGCCACTGCCTTGTGGGTCCTTTAATCCATCTGCCTCCAGAAATAGACACACTCTCACCTATATATGAACTCTATTTTTCCAAGAGGCAAATAAAAGAAAATCCTGCTGTCGAGACATGAGCTGCAGTTCTACACATGGCCCAAAGACTGGCCTCTGAGGTCACACTTACTTGTCAATTAGTGAAAACAAAAGCCAAACAAAGTAGCCACCTCCTTTTACGAATTCCATGAAAAGTAAATGTGTGCTTTATTCCTACAACCAAGATACAAACTACATTTTTACTTTTAAAGAAAATCATGTTATCTAGTTACTATACCATTCCCTTGCCTTTTTCATTTTGATAGCCCAGTTTGGATTGATGGCTGGGGTTCCACCTTCTTGAAGGACCCCAGATATTTTAATTTCACTATTTTGTTAAAAGGAAAATGTTCCAAAATTATTACACACTCCTTTACCTTCTTAAACAGAATGAAATGCACACCCACCTCTCAGGGTCTCTTGTTAGCCTGTAACAGAGCAGTCTCCTCAGAGGCTCCTGGGGACACCTCTATTACAAATGGTCTCAGACTACTATGTGCTTTGAAGTCCTAAATCTGTTCTTGAGATTTATTTCCTTGCCACTTGCTCCTGCTCTTGGTGTCTGCTAGAGAAAGTTCACTCCTCACTGCTTGCTACTCCAACTTCTGACCTTCCATGAGTTTGAAACCAAATCCACTAAAACTGGGGGAGTAGATCAGGGTCCCTGTCAACTTTTCATCTTTACTTGCTGAACTAAATAATCTGCAACCACCTTCATGAAAGCTTTCCTAAATATCCCTGACTAAATGTAAACTCTTCCTTCTTCCACACCCCAAGTAGGCTCAATCCCTGTATAATACTTCAGTCAAACTCCCTTGTAGAATGTGGCATCCTTTCCTAATCCTGCCAATGACCTGATTTAAAATCCTGTGAGAGAAAACATCTAACTAAGATGGTCCTCTGTGGTCTCCTCCCCTGGACTGCAAGCCCCATGTAATCCCCTCCCTGTGCCATAGACTGAGCTCCCGATGCACTCCTAACCAAGAAAATATGAAAACACCCTCTGAAGACAAGGTTAGGTTACAGAAAGACTACAGCATGTCTTGGCCCTCCTCTTTTGCTTCCTCTCATTCCTTGGACTTCCAGTCTGGGGGACGCAAGCTATCATCTCATGAGTTGCCCCATGGAGCAGCTACTCCAAAGCCCATGTGGAGTTACCGCATGGGCAAGAAACAGATCTCTGGCCAGTGAGAAATTAAATCCTTCCAACAGTCACTTGGGTGACCTTGGAAATGGATCCTGCCCTACTGAGCCTTCAGATGACGCTGCAGACCCTGCTAATACTTTAATCCAGGTGTGTGAGAGACCCAGAACCACCTAGCTACTCCAAGCCCAGATCCCTGACATACAGACAATGTGAGATAATAAATGTTTGCGATGTGAGGGTGATATATTGACTGCAGTTTGTTAGATAGCAATAGGTAACAAATACAATCTCTTAAGAGCTAAAATAGTATAACATCGCTTGTAGCTAAAATGGCTAAAATCCCTCCTAACACCTAGTCCAGAACTTTGCACCTGGTATAGGTTAAGACAGGTTTCTTGATTTGAGCAAATGCCCCAGTATTTACTTCCCCAAGTTATCTGTAGTCTAATGCGTGACATCAGACACTTAACAAATACCACATAAAGATACGTTCAGATACATGTCTTCAAATAACATAGTTTTGTTCAATGTTGTTTCATTTTAATGCTGATGAGAAAAAGAAGATCCTGTCCCATGATGAACAAAACAATGTTATTTGAGAACCTGATTTCCTTTATTTTTATTTCACTTAAAATTTCAATTTCCAAGAATTTACTGATAACATTATGTGAGCACTTACTGAACACTAACAATGGTGGTCAGCACCAGCAAGGAAGAAAGCTTATGTGACAGCTCTGACCTGGTGGGGGAGAGGAAGTGGAAGGGATGGCTGAGCTGAGATCTTTAGGAAAAAGGGTCAGCTAAGCAAAGAGGAGGGGGAGGCTGTTTTAGCCAAAAGACAGGCATGTATAAAGGGGCAGGTGTGAGATGATGGAGAGCCAGGGTGACTGGCATGTGGGAAGAGAGGAGAAGCGGGATGCATAATAGGAAATGAGGCTGCAGAGGTGGCCAGGGCTAGAATGCACTGGACTGGCAGACACATTAAAGGTTCTGATTCCTAACCAGGTCGATCAGGAGTCAATAAGATATTTGAGATGTTTGAAGTGTATGTGAGTGTGAGAGTGTGAATGGGTGTGTGTGTGTGTGTGTGTGTGTGTGTGTGTGTAAGGGATGACTTGATATGATTTGCATTTCCAGCAGCCTCTCTGTCTGCTTTGTGGAGAAGGTATTGCAGGGTAGGAAATGTGAAAGTGGGCAGACTGGTTAGAAGGTTATTAAGATAGTACAGAAAAAATACATCAGCAGCTTGACTATAATGGTTACAATGAAAATAGGGAGAAGGAAACATATGAGAGAGCCATTTAAAAATTCAAGTGAATAGGGCTTGGGGAATCGTGTGATTAAGGGGACCAGTCAGCAGGAGAGTTAGGTGTGACTCCCACATGTCCAGTATGCTCCTGGGGGTGGTGGTGGGGTTGTCTGCTAAGGCAGGAAGAAATGCAGAAAACCAGGATTTGAGTGAGAGCTTGGGATCTTTTCCTAATGAGGGGGTAGATGAGTTTTTCATCACCAAGACCTTCAGCAATCTATTTTTCTGGCTCTTTCCTGAAGGGGCATTCTCATTATTGTCCTGATTCTTCATTATACTCTGAATAGGAGAAATATGGCAGTGATGGCTGAGCTGAGATCTTTAGGAAAAAGATCTGCTAGCATCAGAATCTAGTTAACATACCCTGTAAAGTATGAATTTCTGTCCATAAGGTCAATCCAACCAATGTCAGGTAAACCATTGGAAAACAAAATCCATTGGTGACCGTGAAGATGGTACCTTGCAGTTCCTCCACCAATAAGCATTCCATCGTCTGTTTCATCTCAACAATCACAGGAACAACTATGAAATACTTCCTATGTGCCAGGAAATCTGCAAGCCTCTTTGCAGTTATCATCTCTAACCACAAAGATGTAGAATTTCTATAAATGACAAGGTAACAGAGTGGTAAATTGGTGGAGGATACAGACTCAGGTCTACTAGATTCCAAAATCTATATTCCTCCTCTAACTCTGACTTTTTATTTCACAGAATTTTGTAGGAGTTTGTCTACCCAGTTAGCAGGTTTATCCATAAAGTCAATCCACTTTGGTTGATGAGACAGCTGAAAACACCAGATTAATAGTATTCCCCATTTTCCTCCTGATCTGTTACTGACAAACACCAATTAGGAAAGGAAGCCCTCATCAACCAAGCCCTGTCTCGATCAGTTGAACCTGACACAGTTTCTGTGATAAGGAGGCTGCAGCAAACATAGGAAACTGCTCCAGAGGCAGAATGAACTGGGGGACTTCACATTCATTCAATTTATCAGAGGAAAAGGCTGTGCCTTCTTAAAGCATGCTTTTAAAAAGTAGTGAAGTGGAAAAAAAAAATCCAACAAGAATTGGTTCTTCTGCAGATATTTCATAAGGAGCTTAAAATAACAAGATTTCCAGGTATCTGAACACGTGATGAGTAGTCTTTGGGGTAAAGCACAGGCTATGAATTCTCTGAATCCAACAGAAGTCTACACAACAGAGAACCCCGAGGAGGTTCTGCTAGAAGTCTGACTCTCACACCCACAATCCCCTAAAAGGTAAATCATATGGTAAATCATTTGGTTAAGCTATGTGACCCTATTAATTCTCTAAGCCTAAGTTTTCTCATCTGTAAGATGAGGATCATAATAATCCTATAGCAGAAGGTTACTGGTGGGATGAAACGGGATAAATACGAAATACAAACCATGAGAGCTTCTGTGAGCAGGCTCTGTCATCTTTTTTGTCATTGACCACTCTGCTGCCCTGTCCCAGGTGGATAGAGTTGGAGAAGCCTGCTTGGATGAGAGTTTTCCCACATTTACACCCATCAAGAACCTCTTCATTGCCCTACACTACATACCCTATATTTTGAGTGATGTTGTCTACTCAATGCATGAAGCATTCACTGTTTTCCCTATTCTATTTATCAAAGACATAAGTATGATTAGCACTAAAAACTTAAGTGAAAAGAAAAAAGATAAATCAGACTCCATTAAAATTTTTAAGACTGTATACCAAAAGGACACCATTGAGAATCTAAAGAGACAACCCACAGAACGGCAGAAAGTATTTTCAAATCATGTATCTGATAAAGATCGAAGACGCAGAAGAAAAATGATTTAAAGAATTGGCAAAGACTTTGACTAGATATTTTTTCCAAAGAAGATAGACAAATGACCAATAAGCACACAAAAAGCTGCTATACTTATTAAGAAAATCACTGCTTATTCAGAAAACTCAAATCAAAGCCAGAATGGGATGCAATCTCATACCCACTAAGATGACTAAAATAAAAAAGACAGACAATAACAAGTGTTGGCGAGGATGCAAAGAAATTGGAACCCTCCTACACTGCTGAAGTGAATGTAAAACGGTGCAGCTGCTGTGGAAAGGAATTTGGCAGGGCCTCAAAAAGTCAAATACAGAGTTACCATATGATGCACCAGCAGGAATATATCCAAGAAGACTGGAAACATATGTTCACAAGAAAATATGTACACAAATGTCCGTAGCAATATCATTCCTAACAGCCCAAAGTGGAATCAGCCCAAATGTCCCTCAACTGAAAAATGAGGAGACAAAATGTGGCATATCCACATAAAGCAGGGAAGACAGTGCAGACACATGGTACAACATGGATAAAACATGAAAACATGCAACAAAACTGAAAACACGCCTAGTCAAGAAGAGTGCACATATTGCGCAATCCCATTCCTAGGAAATGTCCCAAACAGGCAAATCTACAGGGATGGGAAGAGGATGAGCAGTTGCCTGGGACATGGGGCAGGAGGAACAGGAATGGCTACTGATGGATACAGGGTTTCCTTTGGGGGAGATGGAAATGTTCTGGAATTAGAGAGTGGTGATATTTGTGTACCTTGTGAATATACTAACAACCACTGAAATGTGTTCTCTTTTTAAGTGCGGCATTTATGGTATCTGAATTATATCTCAATAAGCAAAACTGTCAGTGAGTTTAGTGAATATCAAGTCATCCAAAGCAAAGAAATGGGATAGGTTGATTACAATAGTGGTTTGTTTTTGTTTTTGTTTTTTTTTTACATTTCATAAAGGACAGGATTTAGGAAAAGAAGAAAGAAAAAGAGAGGCACCTGCATAATCACAGGTGGGCAGGAGATCTGCTTCTTTACAAAGGGAAAAAGTTTGTAAAAGAAACACTTGAAAAAACACCTGCATAGTCACAGGTAGGCAGGAAAGCTACTACAATGTGTTTAGCTGGAAAAGTCCAAGGCACGATGTTTGGAATTCAATTGACTGAATGACCCCCATTTACTGGGGTCTCATCTGTAAAATGGGACAACATTGTTACCTGGTCATAAAGAATAAATGGGTAACCCATGTAATCCTGTGGTCACTGTTGGCAATTTTCATCAGATCCCTGCTGGAGCAGACACAAAGCCAGTGCACCCTAGTTCTGAAGGGGAGGCCATCCCCAGCCCAACCTGGCCCTCTGGTCCTGTTCCTCTCACCTCGGGGGTCAGCGCGTTATTATCCGAGGTCTGACTGGAGAGCAGGATGTGTGTGAACCCCTCTTCCTTCCGCACGACAATGTCCCGGAACCGACAGTTGCTCTCGTTCTGGCGGACGCTGTACCTGAGCCTCTTGTCAAAGACGTAGTCCTTGTCGGCCTCCAGCTTCCTCTTCACAGGACTGTGCAGGTTTAATCCTCCATTGGTCAGAGCAGAGCCTTCCAAAAACAGACAGTAAGAAACAGACACCGGAAAAATCGAACACAAGTGGGATCACAGAAGTTCCCACCTTCATGGCCTGTGGCTGGGACCCCCGAGAACCCTCTAATCCAGGGTGCTGAAGAGCCCAGAGGTTAACTGCTACATCTCCATAAGGAGGACAGGGGGCCTCTCTGTGGGGCCCTGGGCAATCCATGACTCCCCTCTCCCACACATTGCCTGGGAGCCAGCTTCTGCTCAGACTCCCCCAACAAAGGGAACTCCGGCTTTGGAAACTAATGGCCACAAAACAAACAGCAGCTCTAGTCATCATCAGCATAAACTGGGAGCAATCATATATCCTTTAATGAATGAATAAACTGTGGTGCATTCACTCAATGGAATATTATTCAGCAATAAAATGAAATTAGTCATCAAATCACAAAAAGACATGACCCTTAAATGCACACTGACAGGTGAAAGAAGGCAGGCTGAACTGGCTCCACATGGCCTATTCCTATTATATAACATTCTAGAAAAGGCAAAAATATAGAAATCATAAAAAGATCAGTGGTTGCCAGGGGTTCAGAGAGAACAGGATGGGGTTTGAACAGGTGAAGTATGGGGGATTTCTCAGAGCAGTGAAGCTATTCTGTATACTGCACCACAGGTGAGGACAACACAGCTACCATTTGTCAAAACCCAAAGAACTGTACAGCACAGTGAACCTTAAAGCATACAAATTAGTTAGATGGGAAAAAGATGGGGTGGAATACAGAATGTGAGAAGAGAATTTACCTTTACCACACGTGTATAAAACCACCTAACTGAAGCGGATGCGGAAAGTTACTGACCTCAGTCACCCTAGGAATGAGCAGACTCTCTAAAATGAAAGGCAAAGTCACTGGTAGGGAAGCTCTGTGTTCCAGCTGCTGAAGCTATTGCCCTGGAGTTAGCAATTCTGATGCTGCCGGACATGCAGGCTGTCACCGAACACTTAAGTCACAGAATGGCAGAGGGGAGGGTCTAGGTTCTCACTGCTGGAGTGGGAACTTCTAAGCAAGGACAGCAGGTGACAACACTCCATGTGATAAGAGGTAAGACATCAGCATGAACTCAGGTGTGGCTCAGTATAGACACAGAGGGACACATACAGAAGTATTTACAGGTAAATGTGTGCACATGGGCTGCGTTCACACGTGTATTTCCTGGCTCAGTCAGTTGAGAGGGCCCAGAACCAATGACATCCCAGTAGCAACGAGCCTACCTATAGCCCAGAGCTTGGTTTCTGAGACCCTTCTCGACCTAAGGAAGCAGGTTCCCTGGATAAATGGCTGATTCAAGGACTGGGCAGGAAGTATACAAGATAAGCTAGTAGTGGTTGAAAGGAAGGAAGTACTTAACCTTCACAATGGCAGGGCATGTCAGAGGGCACAGGAGCCGAGTGTGGCCAGGGATGGACCAATTTAAGCAACAAAAATAAAGTAGAATTGCATTGCAACAACAAGTATAAAATAAATAGCCCTCAGTCCATACTGACATATAAATGATTGAATAAATAAATAGATGGGAGAGAAGAAAAAAATTTCATAATAATTCCAAATACCATATAGAAATTCTGCCCTCAAGGAGGTGGCACTAATACCCAGGAATATCCCTCATCCACGCAATCAAGACACTCGAACATCAGTGATGAGCGACAGTGACACCTTGCACCCTTGATCTGAGGGGAGGTGGATGGCACCTTATCTCTGGAGTCTTCTTGAAAACCCAATCCTAGTGTAGTCAGGAGAGAAGCATCAAACAAATCCCAATAGAGGAACATTTTTTAAGACTTATTTATTCATGCATACAAGAACTGGGGTACAGGCCAGAAATGTGGGGGGTGGGCAATATTCCATACAATACCTAACCTGTGCACCTCAAAACTGTCAAGATCGTCAAAACCAGGAAAGTCTGAGAAACTCACTGTCAGGAGGACCCTAAGGAGACATGATGACTAAATGCAACCTGCCATCAAAGAAGAGATATTAGGCAAAAACTAAAGAAACCCAAATAAAGTATGGACAACATATCAGTACAGGCCCAGGCCCAGATACTGTACTAACACTGGCGTGGGACCAGGAGCTCAGTCGGGGGGCATACTGGAAACCTCTGTATCATCTTCCTGATTTTCCTGTACATCTTTCTTTTTTTTTAAGATTTATTTATTTATGCATACAAGAACTGGGGTATAGGCCAGAGGTGTGGGGGGTGAGAGGATTCACCAGAGACAGAGTGGGGAACAGAATAGGCAGATTGACCGAAGTACACTGCTGAGGGAAGCAGCAGGTAAGTCAGGAGAGGTCTGCTGTGCCATGTGGGTCACCTCCCAGGCTGGCTGGAGATCGAACTCGTGCTGCAGAGACTGCGGATAGCTTCATAGTGCTGTGTCTTAACCCCTTGCGGCACCAGGGAGGCCCAATTCTCCTGTACATCTTAAACACACATCAAATATGTGTTTAAAACATATTTTAAAGGAATATATTTTAGAAGGAAATTGTTAAAAACAAAAACAAAAACAAAAACAAAAACAAAAACCTTCCCAACCTTCCCAGGTGACTGTGAAGCACCAGCAGGCCTGAGATTTTGGGTGGGTCTTACACCAGAACGTGCACATTATAACCTGGAGCATAGCCTGTGGAGCCCATGTCTTGCTGCCGTCAGAATTTCAGCCACCCCAGGGTCCACACCCACCTGGGGATTTGTCCATCACAGGGCCCAATGCCCACATACTGATGAAGTTATGAAAATCTTGCTTGAGTGTCACCATATCTGCTGGGGCACAGGCTGTGACAGCCCACCTGCCCCTCTTTCCCTGAGTGAGCACACTCCACGTGCTGATCCTCGGGGAGCAGCTGACAAGGATCAAAGGAGGTGAGACGTGCGCAGGAGCCTGGGATCAGGAAGGAATAATAAACGGTGGCTCCTTCTTGTTTTACAATCCTTACAGCCCAGCTTTGCACAAAAGTGGCCCAGTATCACTGCCTGGCGACTCCGGCAACAGGCTCTGCGGGGCGGGGCCCCTTCCTCGTCACAACCCAGGGCACCTGGACCTATGCACCTAGAAGTCCATGGGAACTGTTCCTCCACCCCTGGAGCTCTGCGTCCACCTCAGGGAGGACTGGGGTTCTTAAACATTAGAGGTCTTGGATCGCAAGAACCCGCCCAAAGGCAGGGACCAAAAAATGACTTATGGGTTCCCACCTCTGTGTTGCCAGGTCCTCGCCAGCAGCCCAGCGGTGCAAAGGGGTACATAAGCAGCAGTGCCCAGGTTGGTCAAGAGCTTCTTCAAGGCCTCCTCATCTTGTACTTTTCCATTAGCCAGAGCACTGGCCTTTGCCAAACACCAAGATGCAGGTAAAATGATTCAGTGAGCTCCGGGAAGTAAACGTGAGCATTTAATTAAAAGGCTCATGTAAAGGGAGTTGTTTCTTCAGGGTTAACCTCAAAACCTTTAGCTTCTCAGAAAGGCTTCCTAATTGGAGCTGGCCACGTTTTCTGGCCCAGCAGATCCGTGCTGCAGCCTGGCGGGCAGAGGTTGGTGCTCGTGGGCTTGGGGACATGGGCTCACGCCGGGTGGGGAGTCAGAAGCTCAGACTTGGGCACATCAATGCTTTCAGGACTGCAGGTTTCAAGAAAATCCTCCTGGCCCCCAACCGAGTCAGGACGCTAATTAACTATTATATTAAGGAGGAGGACATATGAGGGTTACCTGTTCTGAGCAGCTCTGTGTGTTGTCTCTAAATTTCTCAACAGCCCCAGGAAACTGCCACGGTGAGTCCATTTTACAGATAAGAAAAAAGCGAAATGTTTGCTGGCACCATGATGCCTGCTGTTTCTCGCTTTATTCATTCATTCCAAAGCTATTGATGATTTCCTACAGTCAGTATCATAGCAGAGGATGGAGATCCGACCTGCCCTCGCTGACTTGCTGCAGGGGTGAGCTGGACAGTAAACTCACACCTAAAATAATCATAGATGGAAAAACCACATGAGAAAGAACAGTGGCCTCAAAGCCTGTGGTCTTTCCTGCTGGAGCACAGAGTGAGGCGGCCCCCGAAGGGACTATCTGATCTGATAACCATTAAGCCATCTGAGGAAAAAGACCTGTTGCTTCTCTATCAGGACTTGGAGTCTCAGAAAACCACCCCCAGAGACCCTCGGGGCTACCTTCAGGCCCACTTGCCCTGAGGCTTCTCCCATCTGGGACACACAGTGCCTCCAGAGACTACGCAGCAGGCTGGCGGGAAGGCACCTTAGAAATGGAATGTGCCGCGAAGGTAGAAGTTTCGGGCTTCTGAAGCCAGTCCATGTGGAAATCCCAGCCCTGCATTTGCCAACAGGGAGAAGCTAGAAAGTCACATGTGCTCCTAAGAGTCTCCTTGTTTCCAGGAGGGGGTCATAGTATCTGCTTTGCAGGGCTGTTTTGAGCTCATTCAATAAAAGAACTGACATGGGATTAGCAAAGTGTCCAGCTCATCCTAGGCACTACCTACATGATAGCTGAGGAATGCCATGTTAGCCCAAAGAAGAGGAATGAACTAGAGAATCCTCACAGCCAAGCCTCTCCTACCCTGGTTCACACACACCTCCACCCAGACAAGGGTGTCACAGGCCCAGAAAGGTCGATGGCTCTGCTGAGCCCAAGTTCCGAGTGAAACCCAGTGATAGGCTGGCGCTCAGAACCCACAGGCCTGCCTCTGCTGACTGTAAGACTGGGTGGCTCACACCCCAGTCTGTGCCCCACTCCCACATGCTGGATGGGAGGCACCATTTCTGCCTAGCACGATCACTGCATCTAAGAGGAAATAATGCATGCTGCATTCCTGGGGCATAGGAAACCCCCAACATGCTAGTTTCCTTCCTTCTATTTGCCCTAAGCCTTCTCCCAAGCTTTCCTTCAGAATACAAAGGAGTATTTCCTGCTAAGGAGGCCCCATCATGCTCTGACACAGCCCCTCTGCTCCAAACACGCAGA